AACAGTGAAGTGTCACATGCAGATTCTGAGATTCATTTCCCTGTACCGGGTGTCCCGGCTCTTACATGCCAGTACGTTGGGTTGCCTATGCACTGGCAGCAGGGGCTGCAGGCGCGGGGAGGGTGGCGGAGTGGGAGCTGCCACTTCTCCGCCACCCGCCGCGCCTGCAGCCCCCTCCTGGCAGTGCATAGGCAACCCAACGTACTGGCATGTAAGAGCCGGGACACCCGGTACAGCAGATAAACCAATCTGAAGATTGCCCCCCCCCCCAGAAAAAAGAACAAGAAAAAAATAACCAAAAACAAACACCCACACTAAAATGTTGGAGGGAGCTGTTCACCTGAACTTGAAGAAAGACTACAAATTATGTTATTACTGTTTAATTAACAGTTAGCAAATGGAAATAAAAAATAAAATTGGATGTATGGAACAAAATTACTACTAGTTAACTTGACTAGTAAAAACAAAATGGCTTCATAGACTTTCATAAAATAGATATGTTAAATAAAAATAGTTAACATAAAATAGTTAAGTAAAATGTTACAATAAAAGCAATCATCTACAGGTACTTTTTCTTGAAAGCGGCAACACCATCTTTTTTGATGGCCCGTTTGATTTCACCCAGCCGGCAAGACATAGAATGCTTAATTGTGCCATCGGCTTTTGGAACTTTCCACTTTCGTTGCACTGCAGCACTCTTCGCATAGTCTGTGGAAAGAGGCAGCAAAGCTTTAGAAGCAAAAAGTGTTGCAACTTACATTGATGTGTATCAAAATGAAATGTAAATTTGTCCATGAGCAGATTTTAACTTGAAAAGTAAATATAGCCATGCTGCAGTAAATGAAAGAATGATAAGAGAGAATTAAAACTTAGTCTCCTTTTAAGAACTTAAATAGATTTTGAATCAGAAACCTGTGAGAAGCACATCTCTCAAGCTACAATAATTACGAGAACTCCTTTGACATATCATTATAAGTTTAAAAAACTTTGATGTATTGATAAAAGTGGTCAATTTTCCAGGATACTTTTTCAAAAGTAATGCTATTACCCACATAAATATAGCAAGAGACAGATAAATGTGTACTTCCTATCTTGTGTAGAACAAATTCACACAACACTCTAAGTTAGATTTGGTATAGTATGAAGTTCTTACCGATTATGGCAGTCACAGCTGATTTACAAAGAGCTTCAGCCGATTTCTTTTCTCCAGCAGGGCCAGCCCGCCACTCTTGTCCAGTTAAAGTGCAGTTCTCCAGGCTTTCAGGTTTAAAAACACCAACAAGGAGCCTCCTAGCAATGTGATTGCAATTTGTTGATTTTGAGAGAGCTTCTTTTAGTACTTCCTTATGGCAATAAATGTCATTATGAAGGAGGACGAAACCCTGGGGAAGGATATAGATAATTAGTAGAAGAAAATGCAGAGGAAATAGAGGCAATAACTCATCATGATGGACTTACAGGCATTTTCCCATACAACTGATCTTTTCCAGTATCATCTGCGTCATCAGAATCATCCAATAAGGAGTCACTAACTTTTTTCTCCTGCTTTGTG